CCAAGAGTGAACCCTAATATAAAGTATAGGCTTTGATGATTATGATATGTCAATGTAGGTTCATCAAGTATAACAAAATGTACCACTCTGGTGGGGGATGTTGATAACGGGGGAGGCTATGTATGTGTGGGGGCTGGGACATATGGAAATCTCTGTACTCTCCTCTCAATTTTGCTGTAAACCTAAAACTGCTCAAGAAAAATTAAAATCTTTAAAAAAAAATAGCTAGTGAAAGGTTTTGAGTTCTCAGCAGAAAACTAAAAAGATAAACTTTTTTTTAAGGGATCACTCTGGCTACTGACTTGAAAATAGACTGAAAAGAGTCAAAGGAAGAGTAGTTAGGAAACTACCACTGTAGTAATTAGTCCAGGCAAAGGATGATGGCATCTCAGGCCAAGAGGTGGTTGTGAAGATAAGGGGTCAGATATCAATGTACTTTTAGAGTAGATCCAATGTATTTTTAGGGTAGATCACAGCATGACAGAACAGTGTGAGTTAGAAGGAAATGGAAATAGTGAAATATCATAAAGATTTTGGCTTAAGCAACTAGTAAGATAAAAATGGGAAAGACTAAAAATGAACAGGTTTAAGAGGAGGGAGCTCAGTTCAGTTTGACATGTTGAATTTGCAATTTCTAAGTCATCCAGGTAGACTTGTCTAGTACGCAGGTGAATGTATGAGTCTGGTGTTCAGCAGAAAGGTCTGGGCTGGAGATGTAAATTTGGGAGTCATCAGCATGTGGATGGTATTTAGCTATAAAGCTGGATGTAATTACCAATTATTATCAATTGAGTGAGCATATATAGAAAAGAAAAGCAAGCCCAATTCCTAGTACACGCCAGTATGAGGGGCAGAGGGATAGAGAAGGAGTAAATCAGCAAAGGAGACTGAAAAGGAACAACTTAGTATTCTGAAAGCCAAGTGAAGAAAGTGTTTCAAGAATAAGATAGTGATCAACTGTCAGTGCACATAATAGACCAAATAAGGCTAAGACAACATTTACCATCGGATTTAGCAACACAGAAGTCATTAGCTACCTTGACAAGTGTAGTTTTGGTGGAGTATTGGGAGAAAATGCCTTACTGAAGTATCTTTCAGGAGAAAGAACTGGGAAAAAAGCAAGTAGACGACTTAGAGGAGTTTTGCAGCAATGGGGAGTAGAGAAAGTTTTGCAGGGAAAGGAAGAAGATAAATGGGCTGGAAAGGGGAATGAGGTTAACGTAAGTTTTGTTACAAAGTTACAAGACAAAATCAAGATAGTATGGTTCTGGCACAGACATACAGATCACTGGAATAGAATTGAGAGTCTGGAAATAAACACTTAAATTTATAGTGAACCAATTTTCAACAAGAATGTCAAGAAAATCCACTGGGAAAGAATAATCTTTTCAACAAACAGTGCTGAAACAACTGGATGTCCACATACAAAAGAATGAAGTTGGACACCTTCCTCATATAGTACACAAAAACTAAGAATAGACCACACACCTAAATGTAAGCACCAAAACTGTACAACTCTTAGAAGAAAACACAGTAGTAAATCTTTTATGATCTTGAGTTAGGTAATAGTTTCTTAGATATGACACCAAAAATAGGAGCAACCAAAGAAAAAACAGACAAGTTGGAAATCAAAATTGAAAACTTCTGCATGTCAAAGAGCACTATCAAGAAACTAAAAAGACATCTCATGGAATGGGAGAAAATACTTGCAAATCACATATTTGATAAGGGACTAGTATCCAGAATATATAATAAACTCTTAATTCAATATTTAAAGGACAAATAATCCAATTTAAAATGGGCAAAGGGTCTGTAATAGTCATTCTTCCAAAAAGATGTACAAAGGATGTTGATAACGGGGGAGGCTATGTATGTGTGGGGGCTGGGACATATGGAAATCTCTGTACTCTCCTCTCAATTTTGCTGTAAACCTAAAACTGCTCAAGAAAAATTAAAATCTTTAAAAAAAAAAATAGCTAGTGAAAGGTTTTGAGTTCTCAGCAGAAAACTAAAAAGATAAACTTTTTTTTAAGGGATCACTCTGGCTACTGACTTGAAAATAGACTGAAAAGAGTCAAAGGAAGAGTAGTTAGGAAACTACCACTGTAGTAATTAGTCCAGGCAAAGGATGATGGCATCTCAGGCCAAGAGGTGGTTGTGAAGATAAGGGGTCAGATATCAATGTACTTTTAGAGTAGATCCAATGTATTTTTAGGGTAGATCACAGCATGACAGAACAGTGTGAGTTAGAAGGAAATGGAAATAGTGAAATATCATTAAGATTTTGGCTTAAGCAACTAGTAAGATAAAAATGGGAAAGACTAAAAATGAACAGGTTTAAGAGGAGGGAGCTCAGTTCAGTTTGACATGTTGAATTTGCAATTTCTAAGTCATCCAGGTAGACTTGTCTAGTACGCAGGTGAATGTATGAGTCTGGTGTTCAGCAGAAAGGTCTGGGCTGGAGATGTAAATTTGGGAGTCATCAGCATGTAGATGGTATTTAGCTATAAAACTGGATGTAATTACCAATTATTATCAATTGAGTGAGCATATATAGAAAAGAAAAGCAAGCCCAATTCCTAGTACACGCCAGTATGAGGGGCAGAGGGATAGAGAAGGAGTAAATCAGCAAAGGAGACTGAAAAGGAACAACTTAGTATTCTGAAAGCCAAGTGAAGAAAGTGTTTCAAGAATAAGATAGTGATCAACTGTCAGTGCACATAATAGACCAAATAAGGCTAAGACAACATTTACCATCGGATTTAGCAACACAGAAGTCATTAGCTACCTTGACAAGTGTAGTTTTGGTGGAGTATTGGGAGTGGATATTTTCTACTGATTGCTTTCTTGATGAAACAAGAAGCAAGGTCATCAGCTAAGAGTGAGAACAGGGGAAGATTCGAAGATGAGGACAGAGGAAGGGGAGAATAAACAATTAAACGGACTAGGAAACTCAGTACAATTTAGAGCTGGTCATGAACTAAAAGTGAGACCAATACCTTGACCACAGCCTTGCAAAACCCTGAGTAATGGACCTAGCTATGCTGTGCCTAGACTTCTGACCCACAGAAACCGTGAAATAAACATGTATTGTTTCAAGCCACTAAATCTATGGTAATTTGTTACACAGCGATAGAAAATGAATATTCCCACCCACTGAAGGAGGTGAGAATTACCTAGAGAAGCCAGGCATTATGATCTCACACAGCCTCTCTTGACTCCATTCAATAACCAATAGAAAATGGGCTGTTTGGTTAGCCCAGTTGGTAATAGCACAGTGTTATAACACCAAGACCAAGGGTTCTGATCCCTGTACCAGTCAGCCACCAAAAAAAAAAAAAAGATCAAGAAGGCCTACAGGAAGTGGTCTCAATAGGGTTGGAGGCTTGTAAGTAGATGACTTTGGCTGGAGCAAATTGCACATTAGAGAATAAAACTAAAAAGATAGTCTGGTGAAAGTAAATTGGGACTCTTTTCTTTTTGCTCAATTTTCTATAAGCCTAAAACTGCTCTAAAAAGAAGTTTATAGATTAAAAAAAAAAAGACAGACTGAAGTTAAACCATGGACAGCCCTACATCTCAAACTACTAAGTAGGCAATGCATAATCATCTCTGAGGAAGGTACATGACCTAATCTGACATCTGGCTTAGGAAAATAATTCCACTCACATTGCAAACAATGGTTTTAAGAAGAGAAAGACTGGAGGCAGCTAACTGGATAGGCCACTGTACTATTTCACATGAGTGTCTGAATTAGAAGTTTAGTATGAATGAAAAGAACAGACAGGTACTATTCCTTGGAGGTATAAGTGACAGGATGTGGCAACTGATTAGATGTAGGAAAAAAAGCTGTTTGAGCCAAAGAGGACTCAGGTATATCCAGCCAATGACAGTAAGGGAATAGAAGGCAACATTATCATTAAATGAGACTGCAAACAAAGATTGGTCCTGGAAGGAACAGATAATGAGCTCCAAGAATGACAAAACAGTAAGAAGCGGAGAGGAAAAGAGAAAAAAAAGAAATACACAGCAAGAGAAAATAAGGACAAAAATTAAAGTGCTGAGAATGTTTTTGCCAAATTAAAGATAGGTAAACTATTATGTACAATTATATCCAGTTGTTCCCATGAGCTAAAAGATTTATCCTTCATTTTCAAAACAGAAACAGATATTAGAAATTATTTAACTTAATATTTACTGCCCTGCTGCCATTGCGATGCATTTTTTAAAAATGTTATCTATTACATGGTTTGCCTAAAGTTACCAACTAATTAATGGTAGGGCCTACGTTAAAATTCAGGTCCTCCAACTCAGTCTACTTCATGTTCTGAATTATGTTAGAGGGAGTTCTTCCTTATATAAACCAATTATCTATGTCCAGGTAATGACCTGGACATATCCCCTCACACTGCCAGTACTTGGAATATTCTTCTCTTGGTTCTTCTTTCTGCCAGAAGGTACAGATCTTGCTGCTATATTTGAGAGAAATCATATATGACAGTCACTAGCAGAACAGAAAAAGAAGCCAGGCAGACTATCCCTGAAGAAACGCAACATGATAGTAAACTAGCCTAATTTAAATGACAACCATACAAACATTCATGGTACAGTTCTATACATAGATTCTACTGTAAGAAAGCATCACTCCACATTACCATGAAGACAACACGTATACCAAGAAACACTTCGCTAATTCCCACTATCTCAAGTACTATAGAAAGGTTTATATATTAGAGAGATTATTAGCAATTTAATTTGTAGGACACAGAGGAAAATTTGAATTATTGCACTTTGACCATCATGGTAATTTTCAATTACTACAGATATTCCTTCAAGTAAAAAAAAAAAAAAATCCTAATTTGCTGATTTCTAAATAAAACATCGACAACGTGTTTTTACATAAGTTTAACCAATCAACTAAAACAAACCATAATTGAAATATAATTTATATTTAATTTCAATTTAAACATTAAAAGTAGTCCAATTAAGAATAGTCTTACTGTTCTAGAATCCGAGAATGGATTATATTCATCAAGTCCTGGTGGAACATTTCTTGTCACCTGGGTAACTGATGGATCCTGAAATAAAATTCAAAGGAGAAAAAAAGATTACTCATCCTTTAAGACATAATTTTGATGTTTACATAGCCTTTGCTTTGTCTGTACTTTTGGTCACCCAGCAAAGCTAATAAAGGAAAACGATGTTAGAAGATGACCAGATTCTTCCAAGGAGCGTACTATGCAAAGAGAGGAAAAAGAGTAACTTTCAGTGGAGAAACATGAGAAACACTTCCTGAGCCAGGTGATGGAGGTCAATGTCCACAGCGATGACTGGTAAGACACAAACACAGCCATATGCACACACCTAAAGAAGGACTGGTGGCTGCCGGCTCCCAGGATGGAGGAGTGAAGTCTTCCGTCGCCACGGTTCCAGCCTCTGCAGCGCGCCCGCTCGAAGCTGAGTCCCCGGACAGCCCCCTGAGAGAGCAGGGTGGCCGCCTGGTCCAGTAACAAGTTATGAGAGGCTGTTTTAAAGAAAGGAAGTCGAGGAGATCCTAAGATGGCGGTGGCTGCAGCGGCTGGCGCTGAGTAGCTGAGGTGGTAAAGGCAGCCATTGGGCCTTAGGCAGCCGGGAAACTTGTGGACCTTCCTCTTGCC